AACAACAACACAACAGCTACAGTATAACAAAAACAACATCAATAACAACAACAAAACAGCTACAGTATAACAACAATAACAACAACACAACAGCTACAGTATAACAACAACAACAACACAACAGCTACAGTATAACAACAACACAACAGCTACAGTATAACAACAACAACAACACAACAGCTACAGTATAACAAAAACAACATCAACAACAACAACACAACAGCTACAGTAAAACAACAACAATGCAACAGCTACAGTACAACAACAACAACACAACAGCTACAGTAAAACAACAACAATGCAACAGCTACAGTACAACAACAACAACACAACAGCTACAGTAAAACAACAACAATGCAACAGCTACAGTACAACAACAACAACACAACAATAATTGGATTGTAAACAGTTTAACTTACTGTCACTAGACTCCTCCTCCTCCTCCTGGTCTCTCAGGTGGGGCGGAGTTTCGCTCCATGAAGCCGCCGCCTCCTCAGAGGAACCACAGCGAGTACCTCCTCCATCCTCCTCCTCCTCCTCCTCCTCTGAACTGAAAACCAACGAGGAGCTTAAATCGGAGGAGAAACATAAAACTCACTTTAATGTGTGTGTCCCTCTGGACCCTCGGTACGGTTCTGACCTGCACCTGATCTGGACTGGGTGGTCTGCGCTCAGGTTGAAGTGGTTCAGGATCTCCTCAGACACCTCCTCCGGCTCCTCCTGCAGCTCCTCCTTGGAGATGCGTCTGTAGATTTCCAGCTCGATCCTCTCCGCTGCAGGTGCCATCACAGAAGCAGCTGCAGACACACCAACACAGCCACRCACACGCACACACAGAGACACACACACACTAAAGCCCAGATTGATTGAGGTTTAAGGAGAACCTTCAGCTGAGCAGCGGTGAAGACTGATGGACAGGTGAGCTCACCTGAGGAGCGGCGGCGCTCTGCTGTCCTCAGAGAGTCTGAGAGAGACGCAGGAGACGCCTGGAACAACAGCAACACAAACAAGTTCTACAGAACCCACGTGTTCTGATCCACATCCAACAACTACAGGAACCCTTCTGGAAACACCCAGAGGTTCTGGTCCAGGTTCTACTGAAGGTTCTGCTCACTGAGGAGGTTCTGTGTGACACAGCAGAGGCGGGTCGTCTCCTCAGCTGACACTCAGGATGCTGCAGGCAGTAGAACCGACCTGAGACAGACAGGAGAACCAGGACCGGGTCAGAACCAGGACTGCGTTAGAACCAGGACCGGGTCAGAACCAGGACCGGGTCAGAACAGGGGTTAAAGTTCTGGTCTGATGTTAACAATCATTTTCTATCAGGAGCTGAATTGATGATAAATAAATCAGAAAGTAAAGCATCGGCCTGTTAGCCCGTTAGCCTGTTAGCCTTTAAGCCTTTTACCCCTTTAGTCTTTTACATTGTTAGCTTGTTAGCTTATTAGCCCGTTAGCCTGTTAGTCTTTAAGCCTTTTACCGCTTTAGTCTTTTACATTGTTAGCTTGTTAGCCCATTAGCCTGTTAGCTTGTTAGCCCATTAGCCCATTAGTTTGATAGTCCGTTAGCCCTTAGCCTACTAACCCATTAGCCTGTTAGCCCATTAGCCTGTTAGTATGTTAGCCCCTTAGCCTGTTAGCCCATTAGCCCCTTAGCCTGTTAGTCCATTAGTCCCTTAGCCTRTTAGCTTGTTAGCCCATTAGCCTTAGTCTGTTATTCCGTTAGACCCTTAGCCTGTTAACTTGGTAGCCCATTAGCCAGTTAGTTTGTTAGCTTGTTAGCTTTTTAGCCCATTAGCCCGTTAGTTTGTTAGTCTGTTAGCTCATTAGCCCCTTAGCCTGCTAGCTTGTTAGCCCATTAGTCCGTTAGCCCCTTAGCCTGTCAGCCCGTTAGTCCTTTAGCCCTTTACTTTGCTAGTTCGTTAGCCCATTAGCCCRTTAGCCCATTACTCCGTTAGCCCTTTAGGCTGTTAGCCCATTAGTCCATTAGTTTGTTAGCCCATTAGCTTGTTAGCCCATTAGTCCATTAGCCCATTAGCCTGCTAGCCTGTTAGCCCATTAGCATGTTAGCCCTTTAGCCTGTTTGCCCATTAGCATTGGTGGTATCTGGAGCAGGCCTTGCGGCTCAGTCCGGGTCAGGTACTGACCGCTGTGGCGCTGGAAGGCGTAGGACGGCGGTCTGAGGGGGGCGCCGCAGGAATCACAGCAGAAACAGCTGCGATGGAAGAAGAGGCCCTCGGCGCTCAGACGCTCCATCACATAAACCTTCTGCTGACAGAAGACACACACGTCGCTGCCTGAGCACACCTGCAGGGAGGCGGGAAAAACAACCAATCAGAATTGCTCAGGTGAGTTTGACCAACAGCTTCAAACCTGGAGCTGCTGAAGAAAACAGGAACAAATCATTTTATTTATCCTTCAAACCAGGCAGGTTTCTGTGTGTCTGTTAGCTAAATGTCGCTAACGCAGCTAGCTGTGGCGGCCATCTTGGATCTGTTTGACTCTAAAGTTCTGATTCTTTAAGAGTTTCAGTTCATCACAGATCCATGAGATATTTTGCTGACAGACACACAGTGAGCTGATAATTATAAGGTGAGGACCAGTCTTTGACTCGTCCTTCAGTCCTGTTTGTCTCACCATGGTCCCTCCCTGCTGACCCTCAATATGATTGGCTATCTGCTCAGCCAATGAGCTCACTCCACCTGTGTACATCTGAAGACACTTTGGACAGACAGACGAGACRAGACGGGACATGAGGACAAAGGACAGCTACAACAAGACATTCAAGGTCCTCCGTCCACAACACAACCAGGGTTTATCTGCTGACGAGGACCAGATCCGATTGATTCTGGTCCTGCGGGGACCAAACTGAGGACAGGYGCAGCCGGAGGACGCAACAAACACAGAGTCCTCTCCTGAAGACACAGAACTGAACAGATGAGGAGGGTCCAGCGGGTCCACATCAGTACCTGTTCGTCTCTGCTGGAGACACTCTGAGACTTGATCTTCTCTTTGAACCGAAAACTCATCTGCTCCTGCTGGAGGGTCCGTTTTTTCTGACAGAGACACGAGAACTGTCAGTGCGGACTGGACCAGACCAGACCGGACCGGACCGGACCGGACCGGACCGGACAGGACCGGACCGGACCGGACAATCAATCAATAATCAATAATCAATCAAATAATCAATAATCTAACACTACAGATCTCTGGTCCTTACCGGTCTCCATGGCAGCGTCTGAGCAGGAGGCGTGGCCTGATGACTGTCTGAGGACAAGGACTCCCCCTGCTGGTCAGATTGTAGTGTCTGATCAAACACAGTGACCTTTGACCTCCAGTTTGGACCTGATGATGGTTCTGATCTGAAACCTCACCTGTCGACGCAAAGCTGAGGCAGCAGAAGACGAAGAGGAGGAGGAGGAGGAGGTGCAGGTCGCAGAGCTCTCAGCCAGCTTTGCCTGCAGCTGATTGGCCATCAGACGGACTCGGGACCGRCTGGCCCCGCCTACAAGCGGCTCGTCACCGTCGCCGTTCAGGTCACATGACTGGAAGGTAAAACCTGTTTTCTTTGACTGAAACTTTATTTATTGTCTGAATGTCTGAGAGCGATGGGAGTCTGACCTCCTGASRCTCCTCCTGAGGCTCCTCCCTCAGGTCGCTGGTCCTCCTCCGTTTGTTCAGGGCGTCGCTCAGCTCCTGCACAGAAACCAGATCAAACCACCTTCAGCCTGGGCAGAGCCCGGACCCAGCAGGTGTGGACAGGTGAGGCTGCTGGTACCTTTGGGATTCTCTTCCTGGATGGACTGCTTCCCAGTCTGCTGAGGAGGGAGGCGGGGCCGATGAGAGCTGCTCTCAGGTCCGAACTCTGACTCAGGCAGCCTGAACCAGAACCAGAGATCTGTCAGAACATCAGGGACTTCCTGAGTCTAGCTGAGTTTAGTTACTTTATGTTCTGCAGAGCTGAACAACAAACCGAAGCACCTAACCTCTGCACAAAGCTCCGCCCCGTTTCTAAAAGGGAAGTGTTTATCTGCAGGCTCACCAGCAGGGGGCGCCGACTCTTTGAGCAGCTGGTAGAACTGACTCAGGTACATCACCATGGACAGAGAGTCCGGTTCTCCCACAGACGACAGCTCTTCTGCTGTCATCAAAGGAGAAATCCCAAACTCTCGTTCAGCCACGTCGAAGGCGAGTTGAGTGTTTTCCTCCACCAACGACTCGTCCAGGAAGTCATAGTTTCTAGAAGGAAGTAGTCACAACCCAGGAAATCAAAATCAGAGCCTCAACCTGAACCAAATAAAGATATTAAAAAGAACTGATGGAGGTTTTACATCAGGTCAGGTCGAAAACGGTGAAGAAGAGCACACAGGGCAAGGCCACTCTTCCAGGAAGTAGTCAGGTCCATAACGGCCACGCCTTTATAGCCACGAGTCTGTTCCTGACACCAAGACAGCAGCTGATTGGTCTGAGAGAAGGACTCTGTGACAGAAACCAAGAGAACAAATCAGATTCAAGATCTGTGGATGAAAAAAACAGTTTACAGTCTGAACACTGAGTCAGCATTTATTCTATGAGTCAGCATTCTTTCTACTGTATGAGTCAGCATTCATTCTACGAGTCAGCATTCTTTATACTGTATGAGTCAGCATTCATTCTACTGTTTGAGTCAGCATTTATTCTACGAGTCAGCATTCTTTATACTGTATGAGTCAGCATTTATTCTACAATTCAGCATTTATTTATACTGTATGAGTCAGCATTCATTCTACGAGTCAGCATTATTTCTACTGTATGAGTCAGCATTCATTCAACTGTATGAGTCAGCATTCATTCAACTGTATGAGTCAGCATTCATTCAACTGTATGAGTCAGTATTCATTCTACTGTGTGAGTCAGCATTTATTCTACGAGTCAGCATTCTTTATACTGTATGAGTCAGCCTTTATTTTAGGAGTCAGCATTCTTTCTATTGTATGAGTCAGTATTTATTCTACGAGTCAGCATTCATTCGACCGTATGAGTCAGTATTTATTTTATGAGTCAGCGTTTATTCTACTGTATGAGTCAGCATTATTTCTACGACTCAGCATTCATTCCACGAGTCAGCGATCATCTTCAGCTCTTTCTTAAGCATTATTCTCCCACAACTTTCCAGTATAAACAAGTGAAGTCACCTTGTCTTAGAATTCTGGGGGAGGGGATTCGGATGATGTCACTTTCACCAGTGTTTAGCCCCGCCTTCTCTCCTGTGTCCACCAGGTGTCTCACCTGAAGACAAAAAACATCTCTTTATTCTTTTTGTTCATCAGAGACAAAAATAATACATTTACCCAGTGTTTATCTCCAAACGTGTCCAGGACTCACCTGGGCAGGAGTGACAGTCAAAGGACTGATGTTCAGGTATCTTGTTGCTGGATCTACTGTGAACAGAGTGATGTTCTTCTGCATGTTCTCTGGAGTTGTCTGAGGGAGGAGACGGTACAAACTCTCCCTACAAGAGACAGACAGGTGTGATGTAACAACAGGTAAGACAGCAGCAGGTGAGTCGTGTCCAGGTGTGTCCTCACCTCTCAGCCAGGATGTCCAGAGGTGCTCTACCCTGAGCCCAACTTCTTATCATCCAGGCTGAGTCCAGAGCAGCTAGGAACCCACGAGCTACACCTGTTCCCATTGGCCAAAAGGGCTGCAAACCAACAGGAGCAGTAAGGTTACCTGTTACCTGTCTGTCCATCTTCATCAGAGGACACCTGTCTCACCTCCAGCAGGCTGTCTCCAACCAGTGTGACCAGCAGCTGGTGATCGCGGCGTTGGACAACCATGGCGGCGTTCTCTGACGCGTACATACAGGTGAAGTCAAACATGGCGACGTCTGGCTGGCCGTAGTGGTTCATGGCGAAGTCCAGAAATGGAAGCTGGTGATTGGTCGAAAAGTCGGCCGCCTCACGGGCGTACAACTGCAAAGCATTATGGTCCACGTTACCCCGAGAGAGGAGCAGCTCCGTGTCAGCAAAGTCCTGACAAAAGAATCAAGAACAGGTGTGTTAGT